AATAGAATAGAATAGAATAGAATAGAATAGAATAGAATAGAATAGAATAGAATAACAGAGTTGGAAGGGACCTTGGAGGTCTTCTAGTCCAACCCCCTACTTAGGCAGGAAACCCTACACCACTTCAGACAAATGTTTATCCAACATCTTTTTTAAAACTTCCAGTGTTGGAGCATTCACAGCTTCTGGAGGCAAATTGTTCCTGTGTCCAGCCTGTGGAGTTGGCATCCTGAGGACCATCTGGTAACACTTTTTCCTGGTTGCAGCTCACAACTTCATATCTTTTAATGAAAGGTGTGAATTGAAAAAAATCACACCAGGTGGCTGATTTTTAAAAAAAATATATATGAGTAAATGGGACCTGGATAAGGATGTCCTTCTGCCCGGGTTTTGCTACAGAGAAATCAACCAAACCGACGGCATCTCTTTTCCCTACCAGCAGAGAGAGGTTGGGAGCCAGGCAGCCAAATCTGGTTTTGCGTCGGTTCTCCTGCCCTGTGGAATGTGCTTGCCTGTTCTTTCTCGACTAAAGAGAGCCCTCACGTGGTTGCTCAGCAGACTCCCTGGTTGGTTCTGTTCCTTTCCTTGGAAACAGCTGCCAGAGAAGATTCGCACCTGCAAATTCAAACTTGGCTTAGGAGGAGTTATGGAGGGAGGAGGGGCGCGTCCCCAGGGAGAAGTGAACATGGCCGAGAACTTCATAACGATAAACGTTCTGAATTCAGACGGGCAAAATGTTTCGTTGGCAAGCTTGGCACAGCATGTCTTGATCCTGAAGGTAATCCTCAATTTACAACCCCAATCAAGTCCAACGTTCGCACGGCTATGCAAGGCCATTGTCCCGCTTTGCAATCTTTTTCTCAGGGTTCCAACAAATCCACCCCCATTCAAATCATAAGTCTCTAGTCGCATCTCTCGGAGTAAAAAAGATGATTAGGAGTGGCCACGTTGGGGTTAGCTGGATTCAGCCAACACTAAAATACATCATTCATTTCCCCCTTGACCCTGGTCTTTCCCCCCCCCCAACCCCTGGATGTATATTCTCCAATGGGACACATCCATAGCCAAGAGTCAACAATCATACTCTCCAGTAATATTCTTTCTTGCTGACAACTTTGGGCTGCCAAGGCAATTATCTAAGGCATTTAAGGAATGCACTGCTTTCCCTCACTCCCTTTCTGCTGGCAACTAAAAAAGGAGCCTTTTTTTTTTTAGTTAACACTTTTTGCCACAGTTATTAAGTGGATCATGTGGTGGTTCGGTGGATTTTACTTCCTCCGTTGACTTTGCTTTATCGGAAGCGAGTTGGGAAGGTTACAAACAGTAATCACATGACTCCCAGGGGGGGTGCAATGGTCATAAAATCCATGACAGTTGCCAAGCAATGAAATTTTGATCATGTGACTACGGGGATGCTGCAATAGCCATGTGTAAACAGGTCATTAACTCACTTTTTTCGGTGCCATTGTGTGATTGTAAAATTATACCTGTGAAAATATAAAGCAATGGTAACGCCATTTTTGGTCTCTGTATTACCCTAAGATGATTTCCTGAAATATTATGTAAGAATTCTCTGTATTGTTTTGTATGAAGGCCATATATTTGGCAGGTCACGCTATCCAGTATCATGTTAACGATGGAGAAGACTGGAAATTGAAATATAGGACAAGGAAACCGATGGTATGCTACAATAGTAGGGTGTTGCGTAGGGTGATGCATAACTGGATAGGTTGTGACCCCGGAAGGGGGCAGTGACTGTATATTTTTGAAACTGTATGTAAACCCCAGCCTTCCTAGGAAACATGGTTTCTGAGCACAGAATTCCCTTTCGCAAAAGCTCCATAAGAAAGCTCCTATTTTGTATTATTGTATAGTCTGTTGTGTTTAATTTTATTTTTTTCTTTCAATGGTGTTGTCCAGTTTTACTTGTGAAAGAGCACCTCATTTCGTTGCACCCACTTGCGAGTGTAATGACAAATAAATTCTTATGTCTTATGTCTATTTATTGTTCAAGAGCCTCCAGTTGTATGGAAACCTGAAAGGCTGGTTTTTATCACAAATTTGGCACACATACAGGCCTGAAGATATTCAACTTACCACTGGGGGGTGGGGTGGGGATGAGAGAATTCCTTTTCCAGGGGTGGATTGCTCTTCAAATGAACTGCTGGAGACCCTGACCAAGGAAGTAGCCCATGCAGAGAAAGACCACGATGTACCACTAAATGAACGGTTGTAAGTCAAGGATCACCTGTATTTGGCTGATAAAGTTTCTTGCCACATTTACATGTTGATGTCCAGCAAGATGGAATTGTGGAATAGGACTTCTATCCAAAGGGATTACATTTCAAGAATCAGCAGAGACGGAGGGGAAGTTTTGCGCAGATCTTGTATCGTTTGTAGTTCTTATATTCCTCTTGAAAATTAATCCTCCTCTCTTAAATGGAGAATGCAACACTCTGGTCCTTAGTCTTACTATTTGAATGGAGGAGAGCAGTGGTGGGATGCTGGCGGTTTGGACCGGTTTGAGCGAACCGGTAGTTTTGACGTTCAGCTGGCCCCGCCCTATCCTGTCCTTTATTTTCTGCTTTATAGCCCATCTCAATCATGCGGCACAGCTGATTTCTTCCCCTTTCTGTTTTACTTGCTGTTGCTGGCTTGGAAGGTAAGCAGCTGAGCTTCTAAAATGCTCCATTTTCAGCGCTGTGCACCAGCACCTTAAGCAAAGTGCATGCTGGTTGTTAAACTGGCAGCATCCAACCACTGGGGGAGAGATTTCATCCATCATGCTTAATTGTGATCTGGCGAACAGAAAGGTGGCGGGGTTTGTGTAACACGCCTAAGCCATAAATCATGATTTAGAAAACGTAACATTTTTGCCTAGTACAATAGTGGTGCCTGGGATCACAAAAGATCTCTTTCATCAAGACATCTACCGATGGAGCCTTATTATTCAGAAGCTAGGATGCTTTTGAAATACTCTTCACAATTCCCAGATTTGAATATTATTAGTCATCGCTGGAGTTCTCAACAGTAAAATGTACAAAAGGAGATCCGAGAGTATTTTTTAGCAGAAAGAGTTTGGCATGGAAGAAAGGTGAAAATAATTCAAAAAGCAAGATAGAAAGATTTATAAATGCAGGCATTTTAACTCAAAGGGTATTCACGTTTCCGCACCTGCCATATGCACTGAACAGCCGCACATAAATTTTAAGTAGGTGTTCAACCTTGTGGGAGGGCGTACTATAATGTTTTAAGCTTGTTTCGTGTAGATGTTGTTATGCTTTTGCATACAGCTTTAAGTTCGTATATACCAGTATCAAAATCCAAAAATGTCTGTCTGGATTAGAAATAAATAACATAAAATTATATATCGTAGCCAAGTTGAAAGAACATTGGTTTTATTCAGGCAGTGGAGAGGCTGGGGAAAAATATATTAACGATCAATTTATCTTATTGGAGCGAGTAGAACTCTTACAAATATTTACCTTAGAAAAGGGATATCATCATATACTGTGTGTGTGTATATATATATATATACATACACATATCAAATATGTAAAGCTGGCAAGTTATGTATGCCTTCTGTACAAAGGACCTCCCCTCACGAAAGCTTGCAAGTTGTCTTAGATCAGACACTAGAGCAGGGGTCTCCAACCTTGGCAACCTTGTGAACTTCAACTCCCAGAATTCCTCAGCCAGGTTTGCTGTAGCTTTCCTGGCTGAGGAATGCTGGGAGTTGAAGTCCACAAGTCTTAAAGTTGCCAAGGTTGGAAACCCCTGCACTGGAGGGCTTTTTGTCAGATGATAATGTGGAAATGAAATAAACCTTTTGCACAGGCAAATGCTCTCAGCGGTTGCACCCAGGTGGATAGTAATAACTTGCTTCATAGTAGTAGGCTAACTCCTTTGTGCAAAAGGTGATTGAAAGAAGAAAAGGAGAGAGAGAAAGGAAGAGATACTTTTGAGCCAGAAAAAAAGAGACCTCAATTCATTGCAATCTGGGATTAAAGTGGATCCTCCAACTATAATCAGCTGTCAAGAAATAATACAGGGAATTTGGGGTTTTCTTTTTCTTCTTTTTCTAAGCTAGGGTTGATGCTTGATATCTGACTGTCTCAGGAATGTCATTGACTCATATATCCTCGTGATACAACCAGCCCTGTAGATTTATGGTGGATTACTTTGGAGAATGTCCTGCCCTCCACGAATTCTTTTCCACTTAGAAACAGATTTTAACATTGCCTTCGGTAATACAACAACCCTTCAGAAATGCCGGGCTGCAAAACTGAGAAGGCTCAGATGGTAGGCTACATAATGCTAACAGTCTCAATCCAGAAGACGTCACGATGGCAGAAACCATTTCACTCCTCAAGTTTAGCGTTCCAGGTAGAGATAAGCAACCTCTTCTATTAGCATTTTCACTGACAAGATAATCTTAAAACCTATAATCTCACTTGCAAGTTACGGGGCTGCAACTGCACACTTTAAATGGCCGAAGCTCTTTAACCAGAACAGGTGAGGTGGGGTGATTTCAGTCGAGGTGAATGATTATGGAACAAATTGGGAGTTTGCTGCACAAACCCCGCAGCTTCTTTCTGGCTGGGAAGGGATCGTGTGGGACACCTATGTAGGGTGAGCAATCAACCAAGGGCTCTTCTTTCAAATGGTTTTGGAAACATTATAGATTGGTGGAAGTTACTGCTGTAGATGGAAAAGATTTGACAGAGAGAATTAGCAGCCAGTCTGAGTACCATTTTGCCACACAATGCTATATGAGGTGCAACAGTTCTACAGACTTCAATCATACACCCACACCCCAACACTATATAGAACTATATCATTCCCACACACATATATACATATATATATACATATATATATACACACACACATGCGCGCACACAATTTTCATATAGCTGAACAAACTATAATAACCATATTATAGTTAATAATATCATTCCTTAGGAATCTTCTTTGCCCTTTAGTGGCATGCTTGAGGCACAAAACAAGAGAGCATTTGGCACAGTGTGCATGTGAAGACACACACCCGCACAAAACACACCACAGACAAAAGTGCAACCACTGAACACCCAGCCAAGAGCTGGAGGATGCTGTTAAAACGACAGACCTCTGGAAGAAGACATAGGATTTTGCTTGCAGGACAAACCTTGGGTTTCTACTTCCTCCTTCCTTTAGTCAAAGGTGGACAAACTGTAGCCAAAGATGTGCGTGTAATTCCCAGACCAGTTGGGGTTGATGCAACTCCACTGAAGCTCTTGAAGGCCACAAGGTCTCCATCCCTGACCCAACTGAAGGCTGCCACTAGTGCAGCTGCTATAAAGTGAGCGACACCATAAAACAAGGATCACTTGGCAGGACCATAGTTTTATGGGAACCGAAAACAGGTCTTCCAAAATTGTAGCTCTTCCAAATGCTATTCCACCTGCCAGAATCTTTTGCCTGGCAACGCCAACAAAAGTTCCTAGATCCAGATCCAGATCTGCAATTAAGCCAACGCTATCCCTGGTAATGTCAGATTCAATAAAATTCTGTTAGCGTGATTTTCCACCAGGCGCCATGATTCCAAGAGCTCTGAGTCCAAGGAATTTGGCCTGGTATAAACCTTTGATTGTATCTCAGCTCTGTTCAGTGGCGGCATTTCAGTGGGAAGCAGCGGCATGGCAGGTGGGCCAAGGAGGTGTGATAGCAAAGTGCAGAGCAGGATGAGTTTCAGTTGAAAGATAAACCTCATGAGACACCGTAAGAGAGAAAAGTTTCAGGCAAGCTTGAAAGTGGAGTTCCTATTTAGGAATGGTACATCTTCCTCGGAAATAAAGGGGTTTATATTATTGGTCAAATGTATTTCATTCCGTTATCTCTCAAGATTAGGTAAGCTTCTAGCAGATGTACTGTAGATGTACTGTACTACAATTCCAATTATTTCCAGTCAGCACTAGAAATTGTGGAAATTGTCACATAACACTAGGAAAGAGTAAGTTGCCAAAGTAGCTTGAAGCCCTCGCAACATGCTTGGAAGTTGCAAGATGGAGATACTTTTGGTAGGCACCAGAAATGGAGCTCTTCTCTCCATGCACGATGGCTTTGGATAGTTCCCTAGTGCGGCTTCTCTCTATGCGTGACTAAGACAACAACCCACAGAATGGATTGATCTCTGGAACTCCCTTTCTATAGCAAGACTCCATGCAGAATTTAGCCCAAGTGGTGTAGCCACAGAGGATCTGTGCTACGGATTTCAGCACCTGATCATTGAATCCACAGGCAAAGAAAAATCTCCATTGTTTACTTGATACAGCCAGAGTATGTAAAAACCAATGCCAACACGAAACAACCAAATGTTCACACCAGCCATCCCAAATGGCACCTTGCAGATGTGTTGCAATTACAAATCACAATTCTGGGACTGGCAGCTCCAATATCTGGACTGGGACAATTTGAGGCCTCTTTTGAGTATCGAATTTGAGAGTTCCTTAATGGACTAACCACTGTGGCTTCCACCAAAAAAGGAGAAAAATGTGAAAAGATTTCCAGGCAAGAACCTGGCTGATAAAACGTTTTGTGGTCATTGCAAAACTCCCAGGACAATTGCAATTCCTGGACAGATATCCATTTTAATGATCTCAACTGAGAGGAGTGGGGAATGTTCTTTGCAAATCATTTTAGATTCTGAAATGATATCAAATTCTCAGAGAACCTTGATGAGGTCCGGGAAGGAGGTTAGTCATCAGCCCTTGGCACAAGGAGGTTGGACTTCTACTTCTTCACTTGCTCTCCATTGTGTTCCATTCCCTGTTCTTGGCTGGACAGAGAAAAAGTGCTAACCTAAAGAATGATTGGAGTGCGTGTGTGCATGTTTGTGCTGTGTCTGTGTGTGGATCTGTGTGTGGGGCAGGGGGAGGTTGTGTGTGTGTGTGTTTAGGGATTTCTAACAGTCGCTCTTCTTCACTCAAGTTCACTCTGTGTGTGTTCTCTTCGGGACAAATTGTGGTCCACTACACTCTTGCCTTAAAGTGCACTAAGACAAATCCCAAACCAGCTGGCTATGCCTCTTAAAGAGACTTATGGCACCTTATATTAACTTCCCCATCCCAAGTGCTTTTTCAGATAGGCTGGTTCCAGTGTCCCAAACACCCAAGCTGGCAGCCCCACATCTGGGAGAACCACTAAACTCAAAACTCTGATATCTTGTGGCCTTTTAGGACTATGAAATCTGCCTTTTAGGACTTATGGATTTCTGGTGGCCCATATTTTCAGATCTACAAAGCTTACGCCGCCATGAATCAAGGCGCCTTAAGCTCCGTCTTGGTCAAGCAAGACAGGGATGAGTTCCTTTTCTCCGTGGCTGATTGCAATTTGCAATGATGCCGTGCTCCCAGGAATGCCAATCCATTTTCATCTGGGCATTTTCCCTTGAGGACCAGTGACATCTGCCTTAGCTTTTCCCCCTTGTGCTTTCAGAGGCAGCTGAAGTCGTATTCCACTCATGTCCTTGCTGGGACGGTACTAGTGCATGCAGGGGAACATGGATTCAATTAAGCTGCATTTCTGGCTTTCAGACCGAAGCATCTGCAAACATGCTCTCGCTCCCCATAGGTGACTGTCCTTGCGGCATTCATACAGCTGCTTCTGTGAGCCAAAGCTTCAACCAAGGGCAGAAACTCTTCCGTGCAAAGCAATCACCATCTCTAACGCATGTTCCTGCTTCTATCCATTGGCTGCATGCAGTCAGGAGAGCCTGCAAAATACCGAATAGGAAAGGGAGGATCTACAGGGCAGGAAATGGGTACAAACAGAGCGATCGTCACTCCTCTTGCAGATGGCAGTTCTTGGATACAGAGGCACGTGCTTTTTCTTGCTGCCGTTGAAGGGGGAAAAGATGGAGGGGGAAAAAAAATAAGGCAAGATGTTTGCTGGAAGATACAGATGGATAGCAGGGAAAAACCAAGAATGGTGCTCCAGAAAATGATTAAAGACGTCCTCAATCGGTCTTTCCTAACTTGGCAATCAGCTCATCACAGATCTTGGTCAACTCTTCGATTTCCTGGTTCTGAAAAATAAATGAAAGGATGAATAAAGCCCAGAAGTGAAATGCTGATTACCCACAATTTGGGGGTTGGCTGATTTCTCTGATGGAGCGAAATTAGTAACATCCCCATAATGCATGGACATTAGAGGTTGTATTCAGCTGTTCTGACCGGTTCTAGAGAACCGATAGCAAAAAAAAATTTTGAGTAGTTCAGAGAACCGGCAAAAACCACCTCTGGCTGGCTCCGCCCATCTGCACCCGCCCTATCCTGTCCTATATTCCCTTGTTTGTTAGCTCAGCTGATTCACAAGGCAGAGTGGATTACTGTGCCTCAGCTGAGCTAAAAAAACCAGCTCACCTCACCAGCGCTGGCAGAGGGCGTTTTCTGATTGCTGCGCGCTCAAAGCGTGCTCTCATAGAACCGGTAGGAAAAAATTTGGAATCCCACCCTTGATGGGACATCCTCAACCCATGCTCCTTCATGTACAAAATGCAACCAGATTATACATGTCCCAAGTTTAGCGCTATTATACAGGGTGGACTGTTGTGGTCCGCTGGCAGCCTGCGGAGAGGGCAGCAGAATTGGACAGTGGAGAGGACCATGGGCCAGTCCAGGAGTCTGAGGAGGACTCGGACGTGGGTTCTGTATCGGATACAGAAATGGGCCAGGGCCAACTGGAAGTTATGTGCTGACTCCAGAGCCTCCAGAATCTAACAGCAGCAAGGCAGAGGAACAGGGGGAGCCTGTTACCAGTGTGCGCGTGTGCAGAGCTGCCAGAGGGCAAGAGTAGTTAAGACAAAAGGGGAAACTTGGGAGTAAGGCTTGGAGGTGATTGGCCCTCGCATAAGACACAAAGGAGGAGCAAAGGGATATGAACCTTTGCAGGAAGCAACTATGTCCGTACTGGTCAGTTTCAAACCTGAAGCTCCATGTTGAATTTGTGCTCCGTTTGGCCTTGTACAACTAATTGTCAATGTCGTCATTGGTAGCATTTCAAGAAAGATAAAGGTGCATGCTTATCAGACTTATCCTGAAGGACTCTGGCAAACTTCTGTGGGACTCTTTACAAACTGTTTGAGACTCATTACAGGCTGTAAATGACTATAATTCACAGCCATTGAAATAAAATAAAAGGTTTTTGGGGCTAATGTGTGTTTGTTAATGTCTCAGGAAGCCTTGGTCAGAACAGTGGGGATGTTCTCAAAGATCAGAACTGGTTCCTCAGCCTGCTATCACCTTTGAATGAGACAGAAAGGAGTACCTTGTAAGATAAAAATCTGTGAAGGTCCAAACTCCACCTCCCTTTGAGAATGGGGGTGGGGGGAGGGGTTGGTCTAAGTTGCAAAATAAAAAAAATGGCGCTCAGTCTCCAGTATGAATTGGCATAGCTGCCAGGAGGAGAAAAATCTCCTATTTTTAAATTTAAATTTCATTTCCGTTTGATAAAATATTTTATTTAAAGTCTTCCTTTAAAGCCTGTGTGACTTCTGAAGCTCAGTTCCACAAATATGCCCTTTTCAAAGGCTTCATTTTTCTGCAGTTAGTAATCTGTGCACTGATGTAGATTGGTTCAGTGGTGGTATGCTACCAGTTCAGTCCGGTTTGGGTGATCCGGTAGCTCTGAGGATCATCTGAGAGCAAACCGGTTCGGGTTTGCTCCCATGATCAGCTGTTTTGGCCCACCTGCCCGCTGGGGCTCTAGGCTGTGCTTTATACCTTGTTTTCCAAGCTCAGCTGATTGGCACAGCATGGCAGATTGCTGTGCATCAGCTGTGTAACACCCAGGGATTCCTGGAGAAGCTCATTAGCAAATGCTGTGCTCACGTGCAAAGTGCGTGCTTACCAAACCGGTAGGAAAATATTTTGAAACTCACCACTGGGTTGGTTGCAGTTGAAAGACAGCTTGTGTTGCTCTGTATTTATTCATGTGATACATTAAAACAGGAAGTGCAGGTGAAAAACACAGCAACCCAGCAGTGATTTAGAAGCTAAAGCAGCTCCCCTTTAAATGTTCGGATGAATGCAACTGCATTCCTTAGTCAGTGAGCTATAGGGCAAGTTTCTTCATCTTTAAGTCAATAATGATAACTTGGTGCCTCCTTAGGTCATTGTTTCAGAGATATTCCCTTAGCTAAATAGAGAAATTGATTGACCAAGGGTGGCCAAAAAGCAGTGTGTTCTTGATTCTGAATCTGATTCGGATTCAGTAAAAGCAGGATCAATTTTTTGACTTCCTGCTGGTTTCCCCATTGAGTTTCCTTGTGGGAATCTGCCAGGAAGCAATGGAAATCTCCCTCGTTTGAGCTTTAATTTGTTTGACAGACACAACAATAGACACGCCCATACCCAACAGCTGACAGCAACAGTGAAACGTTGCTGAATGATTCGACCACTTTAGGTGTGCATGAGGTGAATGTTCTGAACTACAATAGCCGTTGCTTTCACCCAATTCCAGGAGGAACACAGTGTGAATTTCAGACAATCTTCTCCAGCAAGAAAAGCAAGTGAAAGAGATGAAATCACCTTTTGCTGGAGGGTCCTTTCAAGAGACTCAACCTTCATTTGTTCTTTTCGAAGTCCGGCATGAAGAGCTGCACTCTCAGCTTTGGCCTTAGTACGGACCTGAGCAATTTCCTCATTGGCTCTGGGACAAAGGGGGGGGGGGGACGGAGGAAAAAAGGAGAGAGAGAGAGAATGAATGGATATAAAAGGAAAAAATTCCATAATTTATTGAATGCAGTGGTACTGTCAACCCTGAACCTGGCTGAGGCCATCTTTGAGGCTTCAAGGTTGCCACAAGGCAAAAGAAGGGAGAGGGAGAGGGAGAGAAGAAATAGATAGCTGGGGTTATGTAGTTGAAACAGAAAGTTTTCCTGTGGGAACCAAGGACATCCCAATAGGTGGCTGGGAAGGAGGAGTGGAATAAGTAAGCAACTGATCAGCACCTTGATTGGACAATGTGACTGATGACTTGGGGAAAGGGGCGACTTTCACTTTTAATTAGGTGAAAACCAACAGGAATCTTCAGAGTTGGTTTTCACCAATTGCACCAATATGATAGATCCAATAAATTGTTCTTTGTGGAATCAACCTGCCTCAGAGTTCTGCTTTCAATGGGTATATTACTTGGAACACTGACAGGTACCTTAGTACTCAATTGCTTTGATACTCCTCAAATTTGGTACTCAACATATTTTGACCTGAACATTTTTGTCCCGGTATTCATTGTTTGTTTGGTACTCAATGCACAAGCTAGAATTTGTGTCAGCTGATTTGTGACTTGGTGCATTATTCTTTATGGGAAAAGTTTGTTTATTACTCGTCATCCTTGGTACTCATCATGTCTCCTGGAACCGATTAATGATAAATACCAAGATACCATGATACAGGAAATCCTCAACTTACGACCATTTGTTTGGAAACATTTGAAGTTACAACGGTGTTGAAAAAACTGGTCCTCGTAGTTACAATAGTTGCAGTGTCTCCATGGTCAAGTTATCAAAATTTGGGCACTTGGCAACCAGCATGAACTTACAACAACTGCAGTATCCTGAGGTCACATGATCACCATTTAATGACCTTCCCAGCTGGCTCCCAACAAGCCAAGTCAATGGAGGAAATCCAATTCATTTACTGACCGCGGCAAAAAAATTGGGTGTGACTCACTTAAGGACCACATCACTTAGCAACAGAAGTTCTGATCCCAATTATGGTCTTTAGTTGAGGATTACTTCTATCCCACTCCCAGTTCACATGTAACTTCAAACCACTGGCCTTTTCTTCTTTGGGTCATATGGGAGAGGAAGAGTCACACTGAGGGGAAAGCATGCAAAGCTGAAATTATTAATGAAGGAGAATATTTGTAGCTCAGGGTTGACATGAGGGCTCCTTGGTGCTCTCTGAGCTTGCTTGTTTTCTTGGAGACGTTTCATGACCCAGCTAGGTAACGTCATCAATGCTAGGCCACAGTTCCGTTTTAACAGATAATAGATAATCAGAGTTGGAAGGGACCTTATAGGTTATCTAGTCCAACCCCACCCACCCAAGCGGGAGACCCTACACCATTTCTGACAAGTGGCACTCCAATCTCTTCTTGAAGGTCTCAAGTGATGGCGCTCCCACAACTTTCGAGAGCAAGCTGGTTGATTGTTCTCCCTGTCAGAAAGTTTCTCCATATTTCCAGGTTGAATCTCTCCTTGTTCAGTTTCCATCCATTATTCTGTGCTTTAGAAAATAGCTTGACCGCTTCCTCCTCTCTGTGGCAGCCCCTCAAATATTGGAACATTGCTATCATGTCTCCCCTGGTCCTTCTCTTCTCTAGACTAGCCAAGCCCAGTTCCTGTAACCATTCTTCATATGTTTTATCCTCCACTCTCCTAATCATCCAGGTTTCTCTTCTCTGCACTTTTTCTAGAGTCTCAACATCTTTTTTTATAGTGTGGTGACCAAAACTTTTCATACGAGGCATTCAATTAGTATGAAAACTCATATGAAAATGAATGTGACCCCAGGATA